GTTATGAAACATGCTATGACAGCCATTGTGTAATTGAATATATTTTAACAAATAACTTAGAAATTTTATTATTTATAAGTTAATTTAAAAACTGCATTATGTGCAATTTACATGTTTGCATACAATTTTTTTTTTTTTTTTTTTGATATATTTTTATTTTTATTTTTATTTTTTTTTATAATTTAAAATTAAACAATAAAAAGAACATATTGGTTCCAAGCAATGTTGCAACTCGCTACATCAATATTGAATTCATCTGTGATAAATTATTTGTTTTTAGTCTTTTGACTTTAAATCAAGAGAATGGCTATAAATAACTATTATTTTGTTAATCAATTAATTGATTGATTATTTCTCAGATTAACTACATAAAAAAGCACAATTTTATTTTCTGTATTTATATTTTAAATAAATATCTGCTAGGGATGTAACAATATCAAAATCTCACAATACGATATTATTGTGATATGAAGTCCACGATACGATATTTATTGCGACATTTAAAAAAAAAAAAAAAAACATGAAGAATTGGGAAAAAATGAAAATTTTGTACATTTTAAAGTTAAATTATTCTATCTAATGCACTCTGAGAGTTCAGAATGAAGAGCTCCAACCCATGTTTGAGAAAACTTAAATCAGAAGAAAGTCAGTGAATTTACTTGTAGCTGAACTTTAAAGGAGACTCAACCCTCTTTTTATTTGTGATCTACTGTCTCAGTCTAAATTACACTCACACTGCTGTTTTAGGAAGATAAACTAATTATTATAATAATAATAATAACAGTAATAGCCATATATTGTGAAACAATTGCACTGTAAAATAAATGCAAATGAATATTTCATAGGTATATTATTTTAGCTTTACACTACAGTAGAGAAATAACAATACTTCTTTCCTAATTTCTACACTTGAGAGAGATATTGTGAATCTGGACTGCATTTAAACCGCTAGCTGTCAGCGATTCATGCTGCACTTTAAGCTTTTATGAAAGAGATATTTTGAATTTGGACTGAAATATATTTTAAAAACTACACTTTTTGCCCAGAAGAGCTATTGTTTCATATCGTCATGTGACTGTTATAATATCGAGACAGTTTTGCTATCGCGCTATCACGATATTGAATATCGTTACATCCCTAATATCTCCCATCTTCTCCTTTAATGCAATGTGCATATTGTTGTCAAATGAATATATATATATATATATATATTGGTTAATGCACATGCTTGCATGTCTAACAATGACTTGCATACAGTCAGGACAGTTTATATGCAAAATGCAAATGCGCATTAATTATTATTATTAACAGAAGGATGTAAGTTATGCGCTGGATTAAAACCCATCTCAGTCTGACAGCGTCGGATTTGGCAGAAATGCATCAGTGTTTCTGCTGAAAGCCTATGGTTTGAGGAACGTGAGGTGATTCCCAGAGTTCAGTCTGATTTACCGTGGTATTTGATCCCATCAAGACTTCTCACATTCAGGGAATTTATAGACTCGTCCCACACGCATGTGCGACTGGAGGTGCTGTCGCCGTGGCAACAGTCTCTCTCTCTCTCCTCCGCAGGGCCAAATACCACAAGCTGAAGTACGGGACGGAGCTCAACCAGGGAGACATGAAGCCACCCAGCTACGACTCAGGTAAACACCAGCCTTCATCACTAGAGTGTGAGCTGCTCACAGTTTCTGTAGACGCCAGCAGGAACGAGAAATGCTATACACACACACACACACACACTAACACGAACAAACACGAACACACACACTCACTCACTCACACTCACTCACACACACACAAACACACAGACACACACACACTCACTCACACTCACACACACACTCACAAACAAACACACACACACTCACACACACAAACACACACACACAAACACAAACACGTGAAGAACAGTAATAGAAAAAAAGAAATGTAATAAATTAATAATAATAATTTTATTGTACATTTTGACTGCAATTTGATGTGAGATTTTAAAAAAAACAATTGCTGTGCATGTTTGTAGGGTTGCACAATTTGCAATTTTTCTCTCTTCTGTTGAACTCAAAAAATTATACTTTAAAGTACAGGTCGACGATGTATCGGTTTTGCCGATTAAAGGCAGAGTAAGTGATTTCTGGTAGCCAATGTTGATATTTGAAATCACCAAAACAAACACGCCCCTACCCCAAAAGGGTCTTGCCCCTATTTTGATAGTTCCGCCCCACATATACGTACGCAACCCAGGCAACGATTAGTTCTGTGAAACAAAGCAAAACCAATGTTACACCATGTCTACGTCCCATGCACTGAACGTGCTCTCCTCCACATCACGAGTAGACACGCCCCTTATTGCTGATTGGCTACAAGTTTGTTTTGCGATTTGGCCCGAATCAGTTTTCTAAAGTGTTTTTGAAAAATCACTTACTCTGCCTATAATCGGCACCGATAGTTGAATGCCAGAGCTATCGGCAAAAATCCATGCCGATAGTTTTTCCGGGTTGAGTCCTTTCCTTTGCCTTTTGCTTTGAGATCACTGACAGCACGTGCTGTTTGTTTAGACACGTGACGCTGTGCACTGAACAGGGCGCGACAATTCAGAAGCGGATTTAAAACAGAGAATGAAACGCTGTGTACACAGTATACTGTAGTACATGTTTTCATATCATTACTAAGTGATTAATTTGTTAACTAGATGCTGAAGAAGCACCAAAATGTCAATATTGCGGGACTCGCGTAACAGTGAAACGTGCTTTTGGTCTGCCCAATATTTAATGTCATGAGACAAAGGTTATTATCAGGACAAACTCTCACGAACTTGTTTTATAAGATAGATAAAACTTTTACAATTTATTTTTTAAAAGTAAATTTAAAGGGGTCATCGGATGCCCATTTTCCACAAGTTGGTGTGTGTGTGTGTGTGTGTGTGTGTGTCTCTGTGAGTGTCTGTGTGAATGTCTGTGTGTGTGTGTGTGTGTGTGTGCTGAGAAGGTCCTTGTTATATACAGCAAAGTCCCTATAGTCTTTGTTATATAGTACTTGTTATATAGTCACAATTTGATGTGAGATTTAAAAAAACTATTGTAATATTTAACTGTAAAATGGAAAAAATACATTTAAATTATAATAATAATAATTATATTATTTTAATTTTATTTTACATCTTGATTGTGATTTGATATGATTTAAAATATCCAGGTTTGCTGTACTTGTATTTAGGGCTGCACAATTTGGCTGAAATTTTGTGATTATATATCAGTATGGCAATAAAATAATAATAATTATTATTATTACTGCTACTACTACACTAAATAAAAATGTAAATATTACTAAATAAAAACTAAATAAGAAATATTACTATTGTATTATTATTATTTACTTAAAAATTACTAAATTATTATTGCTATTTTATTATTATATATTATATTATTATTATATTTTTATGTTTTTCTCTTGATCTTTTTAATATTTCACTGTACAAATCATGTACTCAGTGTATTGATGATAATTTTATTTTTACAGTAGAAGTGTACAATTTCAATACTAATTTTAATTGATTAATTGAAATGATAAACCATCAAACTTTTATTTTGACGGAAATCTGCAGGGCACCTGAAAGATTCTTATTTTGATTTTGTGAAGATGGTTGTGTTTCCAAATGCATGTTAATGCAATAATCACACTAAGACGTATCGTTTTACTTAGTTTTACTTTGATTAATCATGCAGCCCTACATAATACTATAATCAAATTATGCTCTGGCAGGCAAAAGTTTGGGCACATCGCTCATTTTTTATCATAAAAAGTGCTAATAACATAAAGATAACACAGAAGTCTGTGAATGATGCATTGATCACAACATGTGACACAAATGAAAAATGTCATATATCTGAACATCATCTCCATCTAGATTCCAGCTCTGCTTTCATCAGGTGCATCCTGGGATGCCTTTAAAGACTAGTGGAGGAACATGTGAAGAGCATATTTATATTTGTCTATAAAACTGATCTCAAGCCTTTAGAAATCATGGGAATTCAGTCCAAACTCTTGTCTGGTCAGTAGAGGTACGCTTCTACAAATTAGGCTGGATTTTTTCATGAACCTTGTGTAAATCCAAACAAACAAACCAGACTTTCATGTCAGATGGACGTCACTGTAAAACACTCTCAGAGCGATTCGTTTGTTGCTGCAGTCTGTAGTGATGAATGTGAATGTGGTCAGACAGGAAGCTGTGAGCAGCAGATATATTGTGAGTGACAGGTGTCTGTCATCCTGTGTCTGACCTTTGACCTTTAGATGAGGGGAACGAGAACGAGGCTCTTCCTGAACCACCCAACAGTCAGCTGAACTGGAAACAGGGACGACAGCTGCTGAGACAGTGAGTGACACACACTCACACACACACACACACACTCACACACTCACACACACACACACACACACACACCCACACACACACACACACTTTATCACTTTATGCTGCGTTCGCGTCACTGAAATGACAACCTGCTTCGTTTGTTTACAGAACTGCAGAAATTAATATACAATAAATGCACAATATTCAAAGACATTTTTTTTTATATTTCTGCTGTAATTATGACCAGCATTGTTACTGGTAACTAAAACTATTAAAATAGTTTTCATTAACAAAATAAAGCTGAATTAAAATAAATGAATATAAATAAAATAATTATATATATGAAACTGAAATAAAATAATTATAAGTACTAAAATTACTAAAACTGGAAGGAAAATAAATTCAAGCTGAATAAAATTAGATAAAAAACATAAAAAAATAACAAAATTGCTTATACTAAAACTGAAATAAAAAGAAATAACAAAAAGATAAAACTAAGAAAAATGACACAAGCATATAAATAAAACTGAAATAAAAATGAAAATGGAAACTGAAATATATATAAATAAAAGCTACATCATATTATTAATAAATACTATGATAAATAATAATTATAATTAGTGTTGTCAAACGATTAATCGCAATTTATCGCATCCAAAATAAAAGTTTTTGTTTACATAATATATGCGTGTGCACGCGATTAATCGTTTGACAGCACTAATTATAATAAAAAAACAGATTATGACAAAACTGCTCGTTTTCCAAGTTTTTTATGAGCAGAAACTGGGAGTATTAGTTATATTAAATTAATTGATTATAATTCATTTTGTGATTCCAGAAGTTTCAAGACCTGTATGTTCTTCAATAAAAACAATTGTTTTTAAAATATTATTATTAAACGTTTAAAAATGTTTTCACCATACAATCAAAAGAATAAAAACATGAAATTATATTTTGCATATAAAAAATGAAGTCTATTTTAAGACTATAAATTTTTTTTTTTATATTGTGACATCATTAATGGTCCTGTTTATTCAAAGTATAATTTCTAGCATTTATTCCATAATTTTTCGTTTTTATTCTTTTGATTTTAAGATGAAAAGTTCTTGACCGGTTTTATAAGACCCTTAATTTTTTATTAAATTAAATGTGTGTTTTTTTTTATATAGTTTCAATTTGCACCTTGATGTTTTTTTTTTTAGCTATTTAATTTAGACTGAATTTAAATTATGATTAATTTTAAAACCGCAGTTAAAAGTATTTAAATGAGTAAAGACATGAAGCAGTAGAATAATTGCTGTGTATTAGTGTTTGATTGTACGTGACACACACAAGGTAAAGCGGTTCAGGTCACTCCCACACCGAACATGAAGTTCTTCCACACCTCCACACTCCTATCTATTTATAAACGCTGATCTATCTGCTGATCTCCAGCATACGTGAGTGTCGGCTGTCATATTGACTGTGATATTGAAGATCATTTTAACTTGAGCATTTAGAAAGAAAACCCAGTTCAGGCGTGATGTAATGAAGCCCAGCACCGTTCACACCGCAGTGATTTGATGAGGTTTAGCGCTCAGAGTGTAATCCTGATGAGTGTGTAGAGTGTAAAACTCAGATGAACTCACACCTCTGATCACATGACTGTCGCGCTACAGCATCAGACAATATAATGCATCATAATAGTCCATACGACTCTCGACTCGTGCGCTATATGCCACATCTTCTGAAGCGCTGGGATAGTTTTGTGTGACTGATATATAAAGGGATAGTTCACCCAAAAATGAACATTCTGTCATCATTTACTTACACTCAAGTTTCTCTCTTCTGTTGAACTCAAAAAATTATACTTTAAAGTACAGGTCGACCGATGTATCGGTTTTGCCGGTTAATCGGCACCGATAGTTAAATACCGGAACTATCGGCAAAAATCCATGCCGATAGTTTTTCCGGGTTGCGTCCTTTGCTGGAGCGGCTGAGAAGGTCCTTGTTATATACAGCAAAGTCCCTATAGTCTTTGTTATATAGTACAAGAGCGGCCTCTAGAGGTGGAGATCACTGACAGCACGTGCTGTTTGTTTAGACACGTGACGCTGTGCACTGAACAGGGCGCGACAATTCAGAAGCGGATTTAAAACAGACAATGAAACGCTGTGTACACAGTATACTGTAGTACATGTTTTCATATCATTACTAAGTGATTAATTTGTTAACTAGATGCTGAAGAAGCACCAAAATGTCAATATTGCGGGACTCGCGTAACAGTGAAACGTGCTTTTGGTCTGCCCAATATTTAATGTCATGAGACAAAGGTTATTATCAGGACAAACTCTCACGAACTTGTTTTATAAGATAGATAAAACTTTTACAATTTATTTTTTAAAAGTAAATTTAAAGGGGTCATCGGATGCCCATTTTCCACAAGTTGATATGATTCTTTAGGGTCTTAATGAAAAGTCTATAACATACTTTGGTTCAAATTTCTCAATGGTAGTATAAAAAACACCCTTTTTACCCGGTCAAAAACAGCTCTATTCACAGCGACTCATTTCGGTGCATGTTCCTTTAAATGTTAATGAGCTCTGCTGAGCCCGCCCCTCTCTTCCGAGCCGCTCTCTGAGAGACTGTAAACTTTAGCCGCATTCATCGTGAATCTTGCTAACTAGCACATTGTTAGGAAAAGCAATTTGCAAAGATTCATAAAAAAATCTCTGTGAGTGTCTGTGAGTGTCTGTGTGTGTGTGTGTGTTTGTGTGTGTGTGTCTCAGTGACAGTAAGGCTGAATGAATGCAGGATTGTTCATCTCGTTGAGTTTCCTGTGTCTGGAGAGAGGCTGGTACAGCGAGAGCCGCCACACTCTCGCTTGCTGGCTCGCTCTTTCTCTCTCGTTTTCTTCTTAAACTGCTGCTAAAGATTTAGTCGAACGCTCTCCCTCCAGACATCAGACTGCAGGAGTCTTAGCACAGGACCGCTGTGTGTGTGTGTGTGTGTGTGTGTTTCGGGTTAACTGAAGGTACGTGAACCATACGCTGACTGTACTGACTGTACTCTCTCACCTCAGGGGTTTGACTTTAACTGCATGTCGAGCATCCCAGAGAGTGATTAACCTGAAGAAACAGCATTTGAGACGCTCAGAAATTACTTGTCGTGTTTGTAACGGTGTTTGCTTAACCTGTCATGCTTCTGTTTTCGAGGTTATGTAAAAGTAAAACCATAAAAAAAAATATTTTTAAAAAAATCAACATATACTGAAATAAAAGATTTTTAAAAATGTAATTTGATGTACTAAATTTAAAATCAAAATTAACAGCAAAATTAATAATAAAACTGTATAGACATATTTTTTTTAAAACACATAACAAAATTACTAAAACTTTTAACTAAAACTGCAAGTCATAAAAAATATTTTAAATAAACATTAACTGAAATAAAATATAAAAAATATATATAAAGTAATAGAATTAAAGTAAAAGTAAAGTAATATACGAAGTCATAAAATAACAAAAATTAAAACTAATATCATCTAAATACATAAACTTTATATATTTCAAAAAATTTACAAATGACAAAAACACAACAAAATTACTAAAACTAATTCTAAATATTAATGAAAACTGTAATAGTATATCAGTGATAATAAAATGACTAAAATGAAAACGAAAAATATGAAAATAAAAATTAATTCAAAATGTTAATAAAAACTATAATAGTATATGAAGAGCTTGCAGCTCCTGTTTAACCCCAGAATTAAAAGAATAAAAACTAGAAATTATATTTCGCATATACAAAATGACAACTATTTATTGACCAATAATATTTTTTTATATATTGTAACATACTTTTAATGACAAATAAATTCTCATTATAGTAATGCAACAGGGCACAAAGATGTTTTCATGCTTCTGTTTATGCAAAATATAGTTCCTATTCAGGTTAAAAAAAAAATTGGATTAAAATTTGATTTTTAAATCTTATTATAATATTTAGATTTTTAGGACACCTACTGTATCTATTTTATTTTTTCAATGACAGCCGTGTACCTGAAATCATAAGTGTCACGGTTGCAGTTGCTTGGTTATTACTTTGTATAAATATTAGCTCGGTGCATTAATATAAACTGTAAGAGTTGATGTGCAATCTGAAGCGTTTGGACGATGTTTTTCCGGTCTGCGCTCAGGTACCTGCAGGAGGTGGGCTACACCGACACCATCCTGGATGTGAAGTCTCAGCGGGTCAAAGCTCTGCTCGGTCTGGCTGGAGACAGCGGAGAGACACCCGGAGACGAGCGCAGCGAGCCCATGGTGAACGGGACCGAGCCGGCCTCGCTGAAGGACAGCACCACCACCATGATCGGGTCAGACAGACCACAGTAGCTTATTTATTTACTTGAATCACTGACCATATGTCAGCCCATATTAGCTATGCTATTTTATTTTACTCCCTAAACATATATCAGTGTCTATTTTATTTTATTTAATTTTACTCCCTAAACATATATCAGTGTCTATTTTATTTTATTTTATTTTACTCCCTCAACATATATAAGTGTCTATTTTATTTTATTTTATTTTACTCCCTAAACATATATAAGTGTCTATTTTATTTTATTTTATTTTACTCCCTAAACATATATAAGTGTCTATTTTATTTTATTTTATTTTATTTTACTCCCTAAACATATATCAGCGTCTATTTTATTTTATTTTATTTTACTCCCTAAACATATATCAGTGTCTATTTTATTTTAATTTATTTTATTTTACTCCCTGAAGATATATCAGCCTTTGTTTGTTTGTTTGTATATTTATTTATTTATTCATTTATTTAACTTACTGAAGACATATCAAAATTTATTTATTTTATTTCCATGTAATTTTATTTTATTTTACTCCCTGAAGATTTATCGGCCCATATTAGCTAATATTTGATTTGATTTGATTTGATTTGTCTACCAAAATATATATCAGTCTCTATCGATTGATTGATTGATTGGTTGATTGATTTTACTCATTGAAAATATATCAACCTTTATTAGATTTATTTATGTATTAATTGATTTATTTGTGACCCTGGAGCACAAAAGCAGTGTTAAGTCGCTGGGGTATATTTGTAGCAATAGCCAACAATACATTGTATGGGTCAAAATTATACATTTTTCTTTTATGCCAAAAATCATTAGGATATTAAGTAAAGATCATGTTCCATGAAGATATTTTGTAAATGTCCTACCGTAAATATATCAAAACTTAATTTTTGATTAGTAATATGCATTGCTAAGAACTTCATTTGAACAACTTTAAAGATGATTTTCTCAATATTTAGATTTTTTTGCACCCTCAGATTCCAGATTTTCAAATATTGTTCTATCCTAACAAACCATACATCAATGGAAGCTTATTTATTCAGCTTTCAGATGATGTATAAATCTCTTTTTTTTTTTGATTTTGTGCTCCAGGGTCACGTTTATTTTACCTACTGAAGATATATCAGCTATTTATTTATTTGTTTATTTTAACTTCCTGAAGTTATATCAGCCCATATTAGTTTGTTTGTTTGTTTAAGTCACTGATGGACAGTATTATATTTTATTTATTTATTTACCTACCAGAAGATATATCTGCCTCTATTTATTTGTTTGTTTGTTTGTTTGTTCGTTTAATTCACTAAAGATATATCAGCCCTTATTTATTTATTTATTTTAATCACTGAAAATATCAACCTTTATTAAATGTATTTATTTATTTATTTAACTTACTGAAGATATATCAGCCCATGTTAACTTTATTTATTTATTTAACTCACTGTTGGCCAATATCCTTTCTTTCTTTCTTTCAGTCACTCACTCACATTTCAGCCCATATTATCTATATTTATTTATTGTCCCCCACTTTTTATCTCCTCTCTACTTGCAGTTACTAGGTAGGATGAGAAGTCTCTATTGTTGGTAAGAAGCAGAGATGCTGTCGATAGCGTGAGTGTGAAACGCTGGCGTGATGAATGATGTCTGCTCTTATTTCTCTGTGTGTTTGTGGATTGGACCCGCAGTAAAGCGGAGATGACCGACTCCACCACGGTGCTGGAAGCCTTCAAGTTCATCGAGAAAGCTGCCGCAGAGTTCAGCGATGAAGAGGACGATGACGACAGCGAGGGACAGAACAAGAGCATCGTGGACCTCTCCACCGTGAGTCAGTGTTCACACTGAGAGCCAGAACATGTCAGTTAGCTCACACTTCCTCTTCCTGTTGTAGATGGTGAGGAGGAAGGTGTCTCCGTCTCCCTCCTCTTCCTCAGCTGACATGAGCGACGACTTGGACACGGAGGAGGTTCTGAAGGGCTTCGACTTTCTGGCCAATAGTGAGGACATGGAGGGTCCGTCTGAAGCGCCGTCCTCTGGAGAGCGAGCCGAGTGTGGTGAGAGTCAGCTCTCTTACAGCTAAAAACACCAACACATGCTTTATAGCACATATTATACTGACAAACAGGCAGAGATGCACCAGTATAGGGCTTGAGATCATGCAGAAGTTTGGGGTCGCTAGTTTGCTCGCCAAGGCTGCATTTATTTGATCAAAAATACAGTAAAAACGTGAAATATTATTATAATGTAAAACAGCAGTTTTCTTTGTGAATATCTTTATTCTTTATTTGTGACCCTGCAGCACAAAAGCAGTCTTAAGTCGCTGGGGTATATTTGTAGCAGTAACCAAAAATGCATTGTATGGGTCAAAATTATACGTTTCTCTTTTATGCCAAAAATCATTAGGATATTAAGTAAAGATCATGTTCCATGAAGATATTTAGTAAATTTCCTACCGTAAATATATCAAAACTTAATTTTTGATTAGTAATATGCATTGCTAAGAACTTCATTTGAACAACTTTAAAGATGATTTTCTCAATATTTAGATTTTTTTGCACCCTCAGATTCCAGATTTTCAAATAGTTGTATCTCGGCCAAATATTGTCCTATCATAACAAACCATACATCAATGGAAGCTTATTTATTCAGCTTTCAGATGATGCATAAATCTCAATTTCACAAAATTGACCCTTACGACTGGTTTTGTGCTCCAGGGTCACATATATCACGTATAATTATATACAACTATAGCACGTCTATTTTCCTATTTTTGAACAGGAGATTTAAATAATCAAATAATAAATAGGATTATATGTTATAAAATATGCTTGGAATAATAAGAATACATTTTACGTAATAATAAGTATTATTTAAATATATTTTACACAATAAAAAGTGTAATAAATCGTCATCCAAATCCATGAGTTTTATCACAGATGTCCATATGAGAAACAATTACCGTCCGAATATGGCTTAATATGTGGATTTACTGCTCAAGAAACATTTCTGATTATTATCAATGTTGAAAACAGTTGTGCTGCACAATATTTTTGTGGAAACTGATACATTTTATTTTTCAGGATTCACAGATGAATTGAAAGTTCAAAAGAACAACATTTATTTTTTGTGACATTATAAATGTCTTTACTGTCACTTTTCATCAATTTAATGCATCCTTGATGAATAAAAATATTAATTTCTTAAAAAATAAATGAATAAATACTGACCCTAAACTTTTGAACGGTAGTGTAGTAATATTCATAATTAAAGGTGCTTATGGTCGAGCTGATTGGTGATGTTTTAGTATTTCGTTTTTATTTTTAAATTTGATATTTTCCTTGTATTTTTTGTTACAATTTTAGTAATTTTGTTCTGTGTTTTTGTTATTTTTATTAGTTTTTGTTTTTTTAATATGTCTGTTTTTAGTAATTTTTATTTTCATTTTAGTTATTATAGTACATGAACCTTAACTAGGTCAAAATGAGAAATATTCTTATGGCTGAACTAGCTGAAAGTAATCATTTATAAGTAATATATTTTATAAGAAATTAATTAAAGAAACATTCAAATGTAAATATTATAAATATTACTATGTAATTTTTTTATTTTATTTTAGTATCATTTTATATTTTTATTTTACTTTATATTTCAAGTAACAACATTTTTAAAATATTTTTCTATGGTAATAACCCTGGTGCTACTATTATATATCAATATATCACGTTTATTTTCCTTGCAGTATTGCATTGATACTTTAGATGTTTGGTTAGTTTTTATTTATCTCTGCAATCATATAATTTCATTTAGCATATAGTAACTGTTAGACTGAAAGCCTCTGAGAAGTCGTTTACAGCAGCTCTTCAGTCTCTTTGAAAAGCGTTTTGCTGCTCACAGTTACTCAGTGCATCTCTCGGCTCCAGTAATGCTTTAGAGAGAGTTCTGCGGGTTATTTATCATGTGTTGCAGATTGTTTTGTGCTGTTTTTCCAGCATCATGCAGGAACGAACACAAGCTGCTCCTCGCTTTGTCTTTCATTGCAGTCGATGGCTGTGTTTTAGTATTTCAGAGCAGCATCAAATGCACTGGATGTGTTTGAGTTCCTGTCTCCTCGTGTGTTCCTCACACACACACACACACACACTCTCTCACTCACACACACACACACACACACACACACACACACACTCACACACACACACACACACACACACACACACACACACACACACACACACACACACACACACACACACTCTCACACACACACTCACACTCACTCACTCACACACAAACACACACACGCACACACACACACTCCCTACCCCTCAATCCATCTCTGTTGAGTCTCTGAAGAGAATTGGACTGATTTTTCTTGTTCATACGCCCGTCGATCAGCTCTCTAATTGAAAACGGTGCTGAAAGGGTTTAAACTGCGGCTCGGGCCGCTGCCAGAACTCTCCGTGTGTAGTATTTCATGACTTCAGCACTATTCGGACTGGATTTCTCAGGCTGCTGTCAGTCACATGACCATAATGCAGACGTAATGTTCAGGAATCAACACTTATACATATTTCTGACATCATAATGACCCTTTTTAACTCCATTTATTGATGGTTTTTTGCAAGAGAGAGAGAAAAAAGGGGGGGGAAAAACAATAAACCAACGTTTGTTTTGATGTGTAGAAATCAAGATGAGATCAGACAAAAGTATTTCTTACTCTCAGTCAGTCACAAAACACTATTGTGTAAACTCGCAACAAGATACATAAAAATAACAAAAAATAAAATAAAAAATATATATAAATATGTAATCTAAACAGACTGTAAACTTGTAGGAAACATTTAAAAAGGTCCAGCATCTTTATATACATACACATATATGTGTGCGCGTGTGTGTGTGTATATAAGGTAAACTACCCTACCTTTTATTTATATACACATATATCATATCAAGACATAATAATAATAAAAAATATCTGGTCCTTGACAGATCTTACAATTTGGAAAATAAAACCTCAGATGAGCAACAACACATGACATATTGCACCGTGTCATTATTTATTTAACAAAAATAAAGCCAAAATGAAACGCCTTTGATTAACTGATCATCAGAAAGTGTGAGCACCTCTATAAAAGCAAATGTTTTGGCGGTTTGCTGGTCTGGAGCCTTCAGGTGTGTGTTAACACAATGCCAAGGAGGTAAGACATCAGCGATTGTTGCTGCCATCAATCTGGGAAGAGTACTACGGTCCTTCCAAACAATCTGAAGTCCATCATTCTACAGTGAGGACGTTCATTCACAAGTGGAAGACATTCAAAACAGACAACAATCCTTCCAGAAGTGGACATCCCAGCAAATTCACTCCAACATCAGACTGTGTAGCACTCGACAGGCCTCAGTTAACATGTTAAATATAAAGTTCATGACAGTACAATTAGACAAATATGGGATAAGTATGGCATGTTTGGAAGGCTTGCCAGAAGAAAACCTCTTCTATCTGAGAAAAGCATGGGAGCACGGTTTGCAAAGTTGCATCTGAACAATCCATAAGACTTCTAGAACAATGTCCTTTGAACAGATGAGACCAGAGTGGAGATGTTTGTCCATAATGCACAGCAGCACGTTTGATGAAAACCTAAAGAGCATATCAGCACAAACACCTCATAGCAGAAGTCACACATGCTGCTGGAGGCCTGATGATTGTGGGCTGGTTTTGTAGCCACAGGTCCTGGGCATCTCACAGTCATTGAGTCCACCATGAACTCCTCTGTGTACCAAAGTATTCTAGAGTCAGCTGTGAGGACATCCGTCCAACAGCTAAAGCTTGGCCAATATTGGGTCATGCACAATGATCCCAAGCACAGCAGCATCTACAACAGAACGGCTGAAAAGAAAAGAATCAAGGTGTTTCAGTAGCCCAAGTCCAGAGCTCATCCTGACTGAAATGAAGTGGCGAGAGTGTACATAAACCTGAATATAAACTGGAGCAACGTTGTAAAGAAGAGTGTGCCGAAATTCCTCCAGAACGATGTGAGAGACTGATAAAGTCATACAGAACATTATTACTTCAAGTTATTGCTGCTAAAAGTGGATCTACAAGCAATTGAATCATAGAGTGTCCTAACTTTCTCAAACATGGTTTTTCCATTTTGGCTTAATTTTTGTTAATTAAATAATAACACAGTGTGATATGTCATGTGATGTTGTTCATCTGAGGGTTTTTTTTTTTTTTTTTCAAAATTTAAGACCTGATAAGAACCAGATAATGTTTTATTATTCATCAAAGAATACTTTTTTCAGGATTCTTTGATGAATAAAAAGTTAAACAGAACAGCATTTATTCAAAATATAAATCTTTTCTAACAATATAAATCTTTGCCATCACTTCTTAACAATTTAACACATCCTCGCTGAATAAATGTTTTAATTTCGTTCAAAAAAAGAAAGAATGAAAATGTCCTGACCCCAAACTTTTGAACTGTAGTGTATATTGTTAGAAAAGTGTATATTGTTAAATAAATGCTCTTCTTTTTATCTTTTATTCATAAAAGAATCCTGAAAAAAGTATCACAGCTTCCAAAAAAAATACAGTTTCCAGCACTGATAATAAATCAGCATATTATACTGATTTCTGAAGATCATGTGACACTGAAGACTGGAGTAATGATGCTGAAAATACAGCTGCGCATCACAGAAATAAATTACAGTTATAAATATAAAAACTTTATTTTACATCGCAATAATATTTCACAATATTACATTTTTTCCTGTATTTTTGATCAAATAAATGCAGCCTTGATGAGCAGAAGAACTCCTGTAAAAACATTAAAAATCGTTCTGATCCCAAACTTTTGACCGGTAGTGTATATGTACAGTAGAGTCGGTTATTCAGTTCAGTGTGACGTTTATTGAATGCGAGTAAAGCGTCCGAATCCTTGTCCGTTGTGGAGTCAGGCCGTGTAATGTGTCTTCCTCCCTCCTCCGTGTAGAAAAGCAAGAGCAGAGCCCCTCGTCTGAGTCCTGGGACGTGGATGAGGGTCTGATCTCTAAACTCAAGGAACAGTACAAGAAGGAGCGCAAGGGCAAGAAAGGGGCGAAGAGTAAGTGGGACAGGAACCTCTCGCTCGCCGCCTCCTCTTTCTTTCTTTACTCTTTTATTTCTTCTAGTGCTCAACCGATATCTGCTTTAAACCACTGAAATCTGTGTGAATCTCACACAAACACGGCCAGGTCATATTTCAAGGATTTACAGTCAAATCAAAATTTATTCAGGCGCCTTCAATATTTCTCACATTATCACAGTTTATTGGCTATAGTTTAGAAAAGGGTAATAAGAACTCAGAGTTAAACTGTGTCAGAACAAACTCATCTTGATAATGTCAGATAACTTTGATAGAAAGGTATGTAACAAAACATGCTCAGGTCAAAGTGTCAAATAATTTTTTTTTATCAATTTTAATGGTAGTCCACTGTATGAAGAATTTTGGGGTATAATATGTCACAGATTACTTTATTTTGCTATCTTCACTTACATAAATTAACTATAGTGTCCTGCACTCACTAGTAAAAAAAAAATTATATCTGGTGTCTGAATAATTTTTGGTTTGACTGTATATTTGTTATTTATGTTATGTATATTTATATATATTCTTAGGACTATTAAGAATTGTTTTTTTTGTTTTTTTTGCATTATTTGCACCCCAAATTCTCTTTACTATTAATACAAAGTTTTTACTACATTACTGTAAAAAAAAAAAAAAAAAATTGGGGTTAAATATGTTTAATAATAGTCATGAAAATAACAGAAATCATAATGCATTGAAAGAATTGGTGTAGGATTTACTTTTTAATTTGCAATTTTACTTCAGAAGTTGCTGGTAAATTAAAAAATAAATAAAAAATAAATAAAATTTAAAATGAAATTTTGAAGCAGAAAGACTGAAATATTATTTTTATTTTTTATTTTTGAATTAGTTTTTTTTTTTGTAAAAGTTTTTTTCTTGTAAATGTATCTTTGTTTTATTTGCAACTTATTTTTTATTATTAATTTTCTTTATGCAGAATAATTTCTCATTTTTATAATATTTTAATATTCATAATTTCTCTTTTTTTTTAATATATATTTTTATGATATCTGATCTGAACACGTCTTGTTTTTGTGAGATTCACACATTTATATATTCATTTAAAAATATTTTAAAATGGAAACCATTTGGTCTGAAGGCCATTTCTGGCAGAGTTATCAGGTGTTGCTGATCATGTCAGAATCAGCCGTTCATTTGACCTGATATATCGGTTTATCACTAGTTTCTTCTAATGTACCTGTATAATTTCTTTCAAAAAGCATTGGCTAGTTTGACAAAAATCCAGCCGCTCTCTTCAGTCCTCCCCGTCACTCATCCGTCCTGTCATCCGCTCCTGTGTTCTTCTGTTCCTCCCATCGTTTTTTCTTTTAGGATCCAGCTGCATCTCTCACACAACTACTGTTTCTGTTCTCCTTCTTCATTTTGTTCTTCAACTGCTCATTTCTGTTGCTCTCTTTGCATTGATGCTGGTGCTCTGAGAGGGGTGTGGCTTGTTTGCGCCGCCCCTCTATGAATGGGGTGTGTATAAATCAGGCTCCGCCCCCTTCCTTGCTTCCACTGTAAGAAAGTTCAGATGGATCTTCAGCAATCGCTGCTCACTTTATCAATTATCACTCTAGTTTTTCCTCTCTGATTTTTATTCCAGTGCTTCATTTCTTTGCCATTTCATTCTGACTGATTTATTATCGTGCCAAATCAGAAAACAGTCCACCTTTGACCAGGAAAGCAAAGTTAAACTGAACCCTAAGCCTAGACCAGAGATGCCCAGAGTTGACCTTTGATGACCCTTGGTCACAGTTATTACTGTTAACTAAATTTAAAAAAAATAAAAATAAATAACTATAAAAGCCGTTTTCACCACATGAAATAAAATAAATGTTAACTGAAATAAAAAAAAACTGTTCTCATTTTGTTTATTAACTTGATGTATTAAAAAAAATAAAAAAATAAACTACTAAAAATGACAAAAACACAATAAAATTACTAAAACTTTAAAATTAACATGAAATCAGAAAATATAAAGGTAAAATCTAATTTAAAATATTAACAAAAACTATAGCAGTAAATTACACTGCCTTTGATTTATCACAAGTTTTGTTTTAACATTTTTAGTATTAGTTTTGTATTGAATTCTAAAATAAGTGTATTTAATTAAAAATAATTTAAACATTCTAAAAATTGTTATTAAAATTTTTGTTTAATTATTTAAAAAATACAATTTAATACATTTGAATATAATATTAATATAAAAATTTTATTTCCGTATATCAGTGTTTATTGTCTGTATTTCTCCTGGACTGAGGTAGAAAACCATTGAAATTCTGACTAGATGACAATAAAATCAACATATCTTCAATTACATTTTTATCTAATTTACATTTTTGTTTTAACATTTGAAAATTTATTTTGTAAATTGAGTTACATAAAAAAAATTCTAAAAAAAACATTTTTGTTTATTTATTTACAAAAATAAAATTGAATACATTTTTATGTAATATAATGATACAACAATTTTATTCCTGTATAGCAGTGTTTATTATATGATTTTCTCCTGGATTAATGTAGAAATGCTGAAATTCTGATTTACACAGCAATAAAATCAGCATATCTTCAATTCTAATTTACATTTTTGTTTGTTTTATTTTTGTAAAATAAGTAAATTTGATAACGAACATTTCAAATTCTAAAAATTGCTGTTTAAATTTTTGTTTAATTATTCAAAACATTCTAAATGTTATATATTTTAATATAATATAGTTGGATATATGCAACATTTACTTTTGTCTCGCCTCCCTTAATAAAGTTAGATTTTTGGCTCTTCGTATTAAAAAGTTTGGGCATCTAGACGAACCATAGAAGGAGAAATGCTTTTGTTTATTGATTTTAAAAATGTTGAAAAATAAAAACATTGGTGGAAGGTGGGCTGAATTTTGCCTGGGTTTCTCAGATGAAGTGTGGTTGTTGTGGTGTGTTTCAGGGCCGAACCGCTGTAAGCTGCAGGACATGTTGGCTAACCTGCGTGACGCCGAGGATCTGTCGTCTATCCAGCCGCCGGTGGCTCCTCCGGTCCGTCCCAGCCTGCCCCGCCTCAACGAGCCCCCGCTGGGACGCACCGACGAGGGTATTTCTGACACACTCACGGTTATGTCGAGGTCACACTGCACGGTTTTCAAAGTCGTCGGATCACCGTTGTTTTCACACTGCATGACTAGCATTCAGTTGCTGCTGTGTTTACATTAGTGGTCGACCGATATTGTTTTTTTGACAGCCGATGCCGATATCTTGGAAAGCATTGTGGCCGATATACAGTGGGTACGGAAAGTATTCAGACCCCCTTAAATTTTTCACTCTTTGTTATATTGCAGCCATGGCAGCATAATTTAAAATCACGAGTTTAAAGTATTTTGATCGTTTTTCGAACTCTCCTCCTGTCCGCATTCAATTCACACGGACTGACTGTCAGGATACAAATCTGATTATTAGACAGACTTCTATCCGTATTAGACAGAACTGT